TTTACATAAACTCATCTCGTGTGTATTGATAAAGGTCGCTCGCGTAGCGTCAAAGTGCATGTGAAGTCAAAACGCACGGTCCGTGCCTGTGAAAAAAGGTGTATAACGAATGTACCCCTTTCTTACAGACAGAGCAATAACCTATTTAAAAATAAATTGAAATCTATTTTATATAGGAGTCTCATATACCTCGAGGTGACACACTACGCTGTCGGTAATAATTTGGTAAACACTAGAGAAGGTTTCAACCCCATTTTACACAATTTATTGCAAGTAAGAACTCTCAAGTAGAAGGGAATGACGGTAACTTAACGTCGTTTTTAGATCGGTTCGCCTGACGCGGCATGGAGTCCGTTCAAGTCAAATAACAAGCGGTACGGGTCCTTCGGAGTAACTCTAACATAGAAACATCTGAGTACTACTTTAGTGTAATATGCAGAATGACGGGAGGGTGTCTCGGAACTATATTAACTATACATTAACCGACAACGACACAGCATTAACAACATTATATATTATAATATTCGAAGATACCCGACATGTATCTTAGAATCTTCATTTTGGGAAAAAATGAGGATGGTGGGTGCAATGGCAGGGATTGAAATAGATACAGAAATGTAGGTAGGACATTCATCTTGATAATATTGATGTGTCCGATTAGGGATAGAGGGAGTGATGTCCACCTGTTAATAGAATCTGTCACAGAAGCTATTATGGGGTCATAGTTTGTTGGAACAAGGTATTCTATTTCAGGTGTAATCTATATTCCTAAATATTTAAAGCCTTCCAGGGAATTTTGGAAATCTGTTTGAAGAGGTGGAGTAAGTCTTTCAGATTCTTTAAGGAGAAGAATGTTAGATTTCGAACTATTCACCTTGTACCCTGAGAACGTACCAAAATCCTTTATCAGTTTATTGAGCACTGGCAATGACATTGACACATTTTTTATAAATAAAACGATATCACCAGCGTAAAGGGCCAGGCGATTTTCAATGCCCCCAACTGTTATTCCTGTGATATGAGAATGAGTTCTAACCGCGATAGACAGGGGCTCAATTGCCAGTACAAATAGTAATGGAGATAGAGGGCACCCCTGACGTGTACCTCTCAATGGTGCAGACACTATGCTATTGGTTAATACTTCTGCATTTGGGGTGCTATACAACATTTGTATCCACCTACAAAAACCCTCCCCGAACCCAAATCGGGATAATATTTCGAATAGATACGGCCATCCCACCCTGTCAAAAGCCTTTTCAGCATCCAGGGACAGAATGGCAGTATCTGGAGCCCCCCTTTCTGTATGTAAAATATTGATCAACCTCCTAATATTGTGGAAGGCCTGTCTGCCCTTGACAAAGCCATTCTGATCCAGGCCCACCAGTGTAGGCAGGTGATTTTCAAGTCTTAAAGCCAGTGCTTTAGCGATCAATTTTGTATCTGAATTAAGCAATGATATAGGCCTATAAGAGCCACACCTGGAGGGGTCTTTACCTGGTTTTAGGATAACTGTTATTAATGCACCCTGTAAGGTTGGGGGAAGACAGCCCTTTTCGAATATCTCCTCGACCATATTCAGGAGCTGTGGCAGCAGTTTTCTTTTAAAGGCTTTATAGATGTCTATGGGGATCCCATCAGGACCAACTGCCTTTCCACCCTTCATGTTAGTCATGGCCTCTCAGACAATTCTAATAGTTGTATTGGTTTATCTAAATTAGCTTTTCGTTCCTCAGACAAACATGGAAAGTGTATCCCGTCCAAAAAAACTGACTGAGTCTTTGGGTCGCCGGGGGGCTCAGACTTGTATAGGTGATTATACAATGTTTTAAATTATTCATTAATTTCTTTAGGATCTGATGTAATATTTCCAGCAATGTTTTGAATTTCATTTATCGCTCTTTCGCCATGTAATGCCTTAATTCGCCAGGCTAGTAATTTGCCTGCTTTCTCCCCTTGGTCGTAACATGATTGTTTGAGTCTGTGTTACGGTTGAGTGAAGGAAGCGGGACCCAAAATGCAGATTAAACTGATTATACCTTTATTACAAGGATAACGAATAGAACTTGGACAGACAGAACACTCACCGGTGAACACAGTCAACAACAAACGACGAACCAACAATGACAGACAGAAAAACCAGAACTTAAATACACACAAGACTAATCACACAAACAAGACACAGGTGAGGAGGGAGGAGAAACACAAAACTAGGACCACCAGGGTGGGTGGAGGGGGTCAGGGGGACGGGCCTGGGCTGACAGCCCAGGAGCACAGCGGAGGACCCGGAAGGGATCTCGGGCGGACGGCCCGGGGGCAAGGCAGAGTCAATGGAGGGGCGAAAGCCACAATGGGCGAACTCAGGGGGCCGAGCATGAGGGCGAAGGCAGCGGCAGGAAGAGTCAGGGGGCCGGGCCCGAGGGCGAGGACCACGGCAGGAAGAGTCAGGGGGCCGGGCCCGAGGGCGAAGACCGTGGCTCTCAGGGGGCCGGGCTCTCAGGGGGCCGGGCTCGAGGGCGAAGACCAGACAGCTCCGGAGGCCGGGCAGGACCCGGTGTCGGCCGAACAGGAACCGGAGCCGATGGGACAGGCTTCGGCAGGATCCCCCACGGAAGAGGACCAGGAGTTGGCAGGACCCCCGGCGAGACAGGTGATGGCGGGGCCTCCAACGGAACAGGACAAGGGGTTGGCAGGACCCCCGGCAGAAGAGTTGTCGGCGGGACCCCCAGAGGAACAGGACATAGGATTGGCAGGACCCCCGGCAGGAGAGTAGTCGGCGGGACCTCCAACGGGACAGGACATAGGATTGGCAGGACCCCCGGCAGGAGAGTAGTCGGCGGGACCTCCAACGGGACATGGAGCTGGCAGGACCCCCAGCGGAACCTCCAACGGCACAGGACATAGGGTTGGCAGGACCCCCGGCAGAAGAGTAGTCGGCGGGACCCCCAACGGGACAGGACATAGGGTTGGCAGGACCCCCGGCAGGAGAGTAGTCGGCGGGACCCCCAACGGGACAGGACATAGAGTTGGCAGGACCCCCGGCAGGAGAGTAGTCGGCGGGACCCCCAACGGGACAGGACATGGAGTTGGCAGGACCCCTGGCAGGAGAGTAGTCGGCGGGACCCCCAACAGGACAGGACATAGAGTTGACAGGACTCTCAGCGGGACCTCCAACGGAACGGGACATAGGGTTGGCAGGACCCCCGGCAGAAGAGTAGTCGGCGGGACCCCCAACGGGACANCCTCCAACGGCACGGGACATAGGGTTGGCAGGACCCCCGGCAGAAGAGTAGTCAGCGGGACCCCCAACGGGACAGGACATGGAGTTGGCAGGACCCCCAGCGGAAGAGTTGTCGGCGGGATCTCCAACGACACAGGACAAAGGGTTGGCAGGACCCCCGGCAGAAGAATCGTCGGCGGGGCCTCCAACGGAACGGGACATAGGTAAGTGACTAGAGGAGAGACTTGAGTAGGGACTAGAGAAGGGACTAGAGAAGGGACTTGAGTTGGGACTAGAGGAGGGACTAGAGAAGGGACTTGGGAAGGGACTAGAGGAGGGACTATGGCTGCTGGGGCCGGAACCAGGGCCGGAACCATGGCTGCTGGGGCAAGAACTGGGGCCGGAACCCTGGCTGCTGGGGCCAGGACTGAGGCTGGAACCATGGCGGCTGGGGCCGAAACCATGGCTGCTGGGGCAAGAACTGGGGCCGGAACCCTGGCTGCTGGGGCCAGGACTGAGGCTGGAACCATGGCGGCTGGGGCCGAAACCATGGCTGCTGGGGCCAGAACCGGGGCCGGAACCGTGGCTGCTGGGGCCAGAACTGGGGCCGGAACCGTGGCTGCTGGGGCCAGAACTGGGGCCGGAACCGTGGCTGCTGGGGCCAGAACTGGGGCCGGAACCATAACTCTTGGGGCTCGGGCTGCTAGTCTGGTCTTACGACTCCCTCTCTTAGGAGCCTTTTGGAGGCTCCGTGGACCTCCAAAAGCCAGACGAGTTCCAGAGAACGGCTCCGGGGAAGAAGCAGAGGTTGACTCCAGACGGAACACGCCGAGACGTATGGTATCAGGTTGAGAATTGGGAGGCAGGGGGCTAGCATGCCTGGAGCTAGCAGGCCGGGAAACAGGTTTGACCTCAAAGCTGTCCTCCACCCACTCGGGTAGTAACTCCCTCAACCAGGGCCTTGAGGTTACCTCCTGGCGTGCCGCAGAAATAACTGACTGCCTCTCTTCACTACTGGAGGCATATCTAAAGTCATTCCTCAAGCATGTTAAATTGTACTTCACCTCGTACAAACTGTCTGCTAGGTCCATTCTTGGTTGGTTGGTTCTGTTACGGTTGAGTGAAGGAAGCAGGACCTAAATGCAGATTAAACTGATTATACCTTTATTTCAAGGATAACAAATAGAACTTGGACAGACAGAACACTCACCGGTGAACACAGTCAACAACTAACGACGAACCAACAATGACAGACAGAAAAGCAGAACTTAAATACACACAAGACCAATCACACAAACAAGACACAGGTGAGGAGGGTCCTCCCTCCTCACCTGTGTCTTGTTTGTGTGATTGGTCTTGTGTGTATTTAAGTTCTGCTTTTCTGTCTGTCATTGTTGGTTCGTCGTTAGTTGTTGACTGTGNGCCTAATCCACCCCCAGGAACTAATTTCCGGTGTGAACGCGATCTGTACTTAGTTTATGAGAACTAAAGAGTTCTTAGGAACCTTTGTGGGAAAAGTACTTGGTGTGAACGTGCTTCATGACAGTGTGAAGCAACATGACTGAGGGAGTTACATAAAGTTAAAATCAAAATGAGTTTGAAACATCTTCTGTGTAAAAGGTATTTTCTCTTCTACTAGTTTTGCCAAGTATTTGTAATATCAAATGACTTCTAGTCTCTGAGACCAAGAGTTGACGGAATAAGACGCATGTAGTTATGGTTAACCTTGTTCTCTCGTTATTACCATGTATAATTTAATATGAACTGTTCTTGTTTGCAGATGACCTTCCTCGCCGCCGGCCTCCACAAATCTATAAGCCGCCCACAGCCGAGATGATAGCTTATCTGGACTTCAGCGTGTCCACTACAGGCATGCTCACAGGGGTCAAGGTGAGACAGATGTTACAAAAAAAAAAGTTTGATCCCAAGTTTGTGTAGATATGTAAAATGAACATAATTCTGCATCGTTTATTAAGTGACAAGCCTGAATGTTTTCAGCCACCTTGTTTTTGATTCTTGTGCTTCCAATTAGAAGGAGTTGCGCTGATGTCATTAATTCCTGGTTATAAAACGGACAAGTCAAATCAAGCAATCTGATTGGTTCTTAGCCGTGATATACTGAGCGTATACCACGGGTAGAATTGTAAGTTACTTTTCACAACAAGTCAGTATCCCTCCGCGTCTGAGAAAAACAGTATCCCGTTGGGCTGAAAAGCAAACTGCTTCGCGTCGGGCCGAACCACGCCCTTAGCTGTGATATAATGAGCATATACCACGGCCTGTGGTGAGCTATTGCTTAAATATGCTTCAGTGTGAAATGTTCCTTTGAGTTCCTAATATATGTCTTTTTGCTTGTTGCAGATCTCTCATGCAGCGGTCAGTGCAATTTGTCGCTCTGTAAAGCTGCAGTGTGAACTGTACTCCTCTCGCCAAATAGCCATCTGCCTGGATCCTTACTGTGGCCTAGGCTTTGTCTTGTGGTGCCTCGCAAGGTGGAGGAAACTTACAATACAGGAATGATATGTTAGTTTACTCAGTTATGTTGTTCCTCCTTTATTAATCAAATGTTCTTTCTTATAGTGTTTACTCAGGTCACCAATCCATCCTGATTCCTCCCTTCGAGTTGGAGAGCTGCTGCTCTCTGTGGCTGAGCACGCTCAGTCAGTATCGCGTCAGAGACACCTTCTGTTCCTACTCCGTCATGGAGCTCTGCACTAAAGGACTGGGCACTCAGACTGAGTTACTCAAGGTGAGGAGGGCTACATATAAAGAGACTAATGAAGGACTGACATGTGATATTTTTGTAAGATTTTATCATTTTTTTGTCGGTTTGTTTCAGGCCCGTGGTGTCAGCCTGTCGTGTGTCCGGAGCTGTGTGGTGATAGCAGAGGAACGCCCTCGACTCACCCTCTCACACTCCTTCTCCAAACTGTTTAAGGACATCGGGCTGTCGCCCAGAGCTGTTAGCACTGCTTTTGGTTCCAGGGTTAATCTGGCCATCTGCCTGCAGGTACACCAACCAACGGCTAAAATTAATGTAGTAACAGATGACATTTTTTGATTCATTAAAATAAAAATAAATGAATTAACAGTTGAAATTGTTAAAAGTAATAGCTAAACTGTCGAAATAGCTGGCTACCTGACACAGATTGTTCCCATTGCAAAAAAGCTAACTGGGGGGGATGTGGCTAACCTTCCTCAAATTGTATCTTATTATTTATGCATTAGCCATGTTTAGTTAGACTAGTCTTACAATCTAAGACTAATCAAAGGTCCAAAACTAAGTGTATGTAACTATTCTGAATATACCTGCTCTTTTTGTGATACAGGGAACAACTGGTCCAGACCCCTGTACAGTTTATGTGGACTTGAAGTCCCTTCGTCATGACAGGTGAGGAAGACACATCAATAAATTAAACCAGGATGAAAGGGTTGAAAAAAGGGTTGTGATGTATTTTAGTGTCCTGAAAAGAGATTTCTTAATGTATTGTTTATTTTAAATAAGTATTATCTTAGGCCTTACTGAATGCTGTTGTGGGGGTTTTGGTCTTTCTGATGTTGCAGAGATCAAGTGTGGATTGTAGACTGATTGTGTATGTCTGCTTATGTACATGTCTTTTACAGAGTGAGGCTCGTGGAGAGAGGAGCGCCTCAGAGTCTTCCACTAATGGAGTCTGGCAAGGTGAGATGCTACATGTGAACACAAGGCACATATTATATTTATGGCTGCAACTAGTGATTAATTTAGTATTCTGTTGATGTGTTACTTGTTTAATACTATTGACACCAGACAATATTCATATTTAAGATGCTGGACTCAGGGAATCAAGTAATTAAAATAAATTACTGAAATACTTTGGTCGATTGTATAATAGTCGGTGATTAATTAAAATGTAAAAATTGTTTAGCTCTGATTCAGTCAATGAATTTAGGTTGTTGACATAATACAAATCATTTTTTCATTTACAGATACTTCCAGGTGTTCGGGTGATCATCGTAAATCCAGAGACCAAAGGTCCACTTGGTGATTCTCATCTAGGAGAGGTGAGAAGTATATACTCTACAACATCCCAATATATTGTAATAAGTGTGAGTAAGCCTTCTTCGTTCTGCAACAGTGTGTGTTTCTGTCTCTCAGGTCTGGGTGAACAGCCCTCACAATGCCAGCGGCTACTACACCATCTATGGAGAGGAAAGTCTCCAGGCCAACCACTTCAACACTAAGCTCAGCTTTGGAGACCCCCAGACCTTATGGGCCCGAACGGGGTACCTGGGCTTTGTGAAAAGGACTGAGCTGTTGGAGGCCAGCGGGGGTAAGTAGACCCTGACGATGAAATGAAAGATTTAAAGCCAAAAATTCTGGAAACATTAAATTCGTTTTTAATTAGATATATTGCAAATTATGAGCACTTTTAAACAGCAAGCTAACTTTTAGCTGCTTACAGACTTTCTTCTTCTTTTTCTACATACACATATTTCTGTGATCAGATCGTCATGACGCTCTCTTCGTGGTTGGCTCACTCGATGAGACCTTGGAGCTAAGAGGGCTGCGCTATCATCCAATTGACATTGAAACCTCAGTGTCCCGGGCTCACCGCAGTATAGCTGAGAGGTGAGAATGGTCATGATAAACATAACTAACTGAAACACACACACACACAAACACACACACACACACACACACACACACACACACACACACACACACACACACACACACACACACCTTTACTATTGTTCTAAGGCAACTACATATTGAACATTTGTACCCGCCACTAAAATGCCAAGGGCTCTGATTCAACAACATCAGGGTGTAAAAGGTGAAGCCAATGCCTAGGTGCCTCAAACCTACTTTTTTGTAATCACCAGCAGGGGCAACTCCTCCTGTTGCAAATATAAGTGATTTTATAGAAGTCTATAAGAAAATGACCCTGCTTCTCACTTGATTCATAACCTCAGTGAACATTCTCCACATGAGTGTATGAACTCAATCACTTGTTTTCAGTCTTAAATACTGCATGACATTCATTTTGTGAGTCCCATTTAGAGTAAATAGACAATAAAGCATCTACCAGGGTGTTTTCTGGATTTATGTGTTTTAGTCTTCAGACTTTAACCATTTCAGTGTTTTTTCAGTTCATGGAAGTTATAAGTTGCATTGTGGTTATTTAAAAAAAAAAAACAAGACGTTGGTGACTAACTAATGCCAAACTACAGGTGTAAAAACCATAGTCCACAAACAAATGGGTTCATAATTTATACAATCAATGGCAGCTTACTGTGATTTGTTTTAATTTGTCTTCTTCAATTAATAAAGGAAATAAGCTTATTTCCTAAAAGGTAGCATTTTTTCTTTTAACGTTTCTTTTGGTTTCTCTTTCCTCACAGTGCTGTGTTTACATGGACCAACCTGCTGGTGGTGGTGTCAGAGCTTTGTGGTTCAGAGCAGGATGCGCTGGACTTGGTGCCTCTGATAACCAACGTGGTCCTGGAGGAGCACCACCTCATCACGGGGGTGGTGGTTATTGTGGACCCAGGGGTTATACCCATCAACTCTAGGGGAGAGAAGCAACGCATGCACCTTCGTGACTCCTTCCTCGCTGACCAGCTGGATCCCATCTATGTTGCGTACAACATGTAAGGGGTCGCGGTGGTCTGGGTCTGTGTGGTCTGCACCATCAACCCGGTCCAACTAAAGCTTTGGCAGAGGCTGAAAAGGAGGAGCATGAACCACATGTACTGCCACCCAGCCCTATGTGACACCAGCGTTTCTTGGCCACTGCATGTCTGTGATTGGACCTGCCATGTTTTGGAGTTCCTCACTGTGTTTCATAGATAGAATTTTGAAAATGGGACAGAAGCAACATGTGTATATATATGGCAAAGGGAGAAAAAAAGCCCCTGTTGCACTTTTTTAGGGAAAGGACAAAAACAGGACCACTCTTAAAATTAATTATATTTTAATGTTTTCGTGAAAGTCTGTCGTCTTATGCCGTACCTACCAGAAACACTTTCCCTTCTGTGTCTACACAGATTCCAAGAGCTATTCAACTTTGATCCACAACTTGAAATATTTTTTACATGCAGCTTTCAAACTAACGCACAGAAACGCATGACCTGAGCCCTTGTCATTTCTCACTAGCATGAATGAATAAAAGAGGGCAGATAAAACAAACCATCAAATGAGAAGCAAGTCTAAGACTGTGCATAATTTTAGAAAAACGTCCCATGATAATGAAGCCAAATACATTTTCACAACGTTCAAGCCCTAATATATTTCCTGCCTTATAAAACTTCAGCCATACATTCCTATCTTAATTTTTAATACATCTGTTATAGGTGGCTTTTTAGTCTCCTTTGGATTTAAATAGTAATGAAAATCCTGACAGATATCCAAAGTAAACAAAGTAAAAGAGAAAAGAGGCCATATTCTGTACTGTACCTATAAAGGCCTGTTGTATTTTGATACTGTACGTTACTGTATAGATATTTTTAATTGTGTAAATGTATACATGCTTGACTTGTCTCTCTCAGTTGATGGTATATGGATATTTTACCCAGCCGAGAGATGATAATTGTAGCAGAGAGAGGATTGTAAATAAGATTTAACAGCTTTGACAGTACTTTTGAAATGGAATAATAGTTAGTATAATTGAGGGTGGAGATGATTAACTTTAAAGCAATGATAGCCAGGATAGATACAACATTGCACTTTCTCACAAATTGTCTATTTTATTATAACAATGAGGCATTAAAATGAATGGTTTAGGAGCATATATTCTGAGGATGAATGCTTGAGGAGCTTTGAGAGTTTAGTGGGAGGGCTATCACTGTTAATGCCAGGGATCTTTCAATGAACAAGAAAAAGACGTGGCTAAAGAACAATATCATGATTATTTTAAGACTACCAGGTTATGTTGTAAAAAAAGTAATACATATACCCACAACTGTTCATCTAATATCCATTACTATTGTACTTACTGTAGTATCACTAAAACCCCCCCCCCTTTCAGTTTTGTATTGCATAATAGAGGAAATGATTGAGAGCGTGGCCCTTTCCTTTTCCTCTTCTCTTGTCTTCGTGCAACTTTGTAAAGAATGACTTTAAATTCCAACAGGATTGTTGTTGGAACTTTAAGTCTGTAGTCAATAGAGGAAAGTCACCGTGTATCTGGATTATTTTCTGTGTTCAGTCACTGGATTAAAAGCACTTGAAAATGCAGTTGCAAAGCTGAGCCTACACTTACAAAATCCTTGATTGGAAAGTAATTGTATACAAAAGAAAGAAGAAATGCAGCAAGATATATTTGCAAGATGTATTTTGTTTCCTGTAAGCTTGTGCTTTCCTTGTACTTCTTTGCCATTATGTATAGGTTCTTTGTACTGGATTAATCTGTATCTCAGTGATGAACACTAAATGTCAACATGTAAATAGTTTTTTGTTATTTTTGGACTTTTGCAACTATCTCACTATAACATTCAATCATGCCAAACACAATATTAGAACGTTGTTTAATCATACAAAGGTAAACAGGAATATAATCCATTGAATTACTGCACTTTGCACTGGTGGTACTTACAGTAGGTGTCTACTGTGTGGACTAACTATACCCATTTCATGTTATATTTAATGTGTTACTAATTTTAGAAATATAATGCTTTTTCCCAGTTTAAGTCCACCTAGAGAAAAGACTAATAGCACTTAATCTTATTTTTGACATTGCATCCTTCATTTGCAACATAATGTTTGCATGACTCAGCCAGGCACTCAAATAAATCAGCTTAAGGCACATCGCATCCTTAGGGACACAAGTGGGAGGAGATGTACATGTATGAAATTGCATATTCAGGGAACAAAACTCCTAACACAGGGATGGACCAGGTGGTCCCTTGGTGCAATCTGTGAATAATAATACCCATAAAATGTAGAGGTTTGTCCAAACAAATGCACTTGTAATTAACGTAAAGAGCAAAAGAGGGGTTACCAACGACCAGAGTCCATCCACCATCTCCCTGCTTCACTGGGAAGTCTACGAGGGCTTCCATTGGTTCCTGCTCTTTTTCTCTGTCAGAGTTCTAACACACTATGCAATCTCAATGACAGTGCAATTTAATTTCAAAGCTTGCACAGTCCAGTGAAATAAACATGATGCTTAAACATTTTGTAATAGACTAAGAACAGAGGACTGGTGAAATGTAACCAGTAGTGTACTGTATTAATCTCTCTTGAGTTGTTCTATCAATATTTTATGTATGCACTCTTGGTATGTTGTATATTAATTATTTGGTCAATCTAAACTGCTCCATGAGGGTGTGATCCACTGATACATCTTTAATGTTGGGGAGGTGTTTTAAACTCACATAGTTGAGAATTTAAGGTGGTACACCCCTTCCCATTTTTCTCACTTATTTTCTATTTTGGTTTGTTGTACTTTGTTTTATACTTTATGTGAAAGTAATACGGAATAAACAGAAGCATTTAATCAATTTGGGTGTCCTGATATTCACGGGTTGATGAATGGTGTAACAGTGATTGAAATTGATGGACTTGTTCTTTGTCTTTGTCTGAGAATTTGACATAGACAGAGAGCATGTTTCATAAAAACACAAAAATCATACACAAAAACCCTGTGTATGGTCTGCTGAAAAGGCCAACATTTATTGGGAAAGAAGAAGGCCCACATTCCATGCATTATATATTTACACATTTTAATAATTCACATATTGGGGACATTTGCAGTCTCACAGCAGCATATGGGGTATAGCAACAACAGGCATAATACAAATAAATCAGAAACAGGTTTATTGCCAAGTAGATTTACACATATGAGGAATTTGCCTTGGTGTATATGGTGCATACATAAACACAGTTAAAAAAGATACATTGTAAGAAAAACTAACACAAAATAAAACCATTATAAAAAACAATTAAAGAAAAACAATTTAAACATTAAAATATAGAGAAATATTTACATGAAATATAGATATATACGGAAAAATAAGTAAAGTATAATTTGACAAAATATGCCGAATAATAACATAAAATATTGTAAGTAAACGGTAGAAAGCTCATTAAATAACAGGACACACATGTAATGATTTGGCGACATAGGCCTACAATGTGTAGAAACAGATTTATTGTTGAATTCACTTTATTGCTCATATTACAATTATTTAAATACTCATAATGCATAGTATATGCATTAATTTAAAATAACAAAAGCAAAGCAGTCTGATTGTGTTACATGTTGCAGGTTTTGCAATGTTCTTCTGTATCTTATCAGTGGTTCAAACTCTTCTCACCAATCACAACGCCTAAAGAAACTATTACGTAATGCGTCTTTGCCAAACAGCACCGCCCATTTCCTTTTGGAAAAAAGCGGTCAGCTATTTTTTTAGCTGACATCTTTGTATTTTTAGCCGTTAGCCCTTGCTGCTAAGTGACTTTTGAAGGTATCTCCCGTGTCAAAGTTTACACACGAATTGCACGAAGTCCACGCTGTGAACACTTGCAGTAACGCGGGCGTTGAAAAGGTAAATGTTGGCCGGCTGAGAGCAGCTTTGTGCTCCTCTGTCTGTGTGCTCCGCTATGGCTGTAATGGCGGCTGCTGCTGCTTCGTCAACTCCTCGCCGCTTTACGAAAAGGGAAGGTGTAGTTAGCTTAATGGCTCCTCGTATCGCTGACGTCTATTGACGCGGTAACTTGCGTGCCAGTGACAGAGTTACATATATTTGCTCATTGAGACAAAAGCTCATCCATCCTGTGCACCAGAGCAACACAACTGTACCCGCTCGCAGATTTAAAACTGTTGTTTTTAGCGGTTTAAACTGGTTAACGTCCGTTTAACTGAACGTTAGCAACCGTTAACTAGCAACAGCAATGTTGGTGAGCATTCTAGAAGTATGATACAAATCATAACTTTACACCCAAGTTGTTGACATGTGTTTGAATAGAAGTCGCCCGGTTAAAAATTTGTTTAAAAAATGTAATACATTATTAAGGGTAGAAAGTTAATAGACTGTCGGGCCTAGCTATGTTTCGTTACTCCATGTTAATGCTAGTTGCATTGGCTAACACGTTTGAACCAAAGAGGAAGTGGATGTTTTGTCTGGCTTAAACTCACCTGTTTGACTTTAGAAATAAATGTAAGCTGAAGTAAGATATGTTCCTTTGATAGCTCTTTCAAATGTAAGGGAAGTGTTTATAAAATTAACAAATATCGCACAGGCCACAGTGGAGTACAGCATGATACAGGCAGGCAGGTTGTTGATATATTAGCGCCATTGTAAAACGGTAATATTGATTTATTTGTTCTCAGTTGCTATGGAGGAAGTACAGCAGGGCAGCAATGGCACTGAGTTACAGACTACCACCATCACAGCCTCTCAGTTCTCACAGTTAGCCCAACAGGTAACTAATACATCCGCTTATAATAACATTACAAATCGTATAATACTGCTTGTATGTCTTGCAATGCCAATAACACTACTCTGTTTATAAATCCAATTCATAAAGCCTACTTTGAAGTTTTAATATTGGCTTTGTACAATAGCTAAATGTTTATTCAACATGTTTTTTGTTTAACTCTTGCTGTGCCTGTTATACAAATGAATGTGTAAAATGCATCCAAAATAACAATGATAATGCACCAAGCAGCTTCAACATAGCTGTTATCTTGTCAGCTTTCATCAGCAAAGTTAGAGAAGTCAGTTCCTGTCTGAGTTCATAGCATCAGATAAGACAGTGTTTTTTACTTTAATTGCTTCAAAGTGTGCTTGAATACTGTATGGTGAATTCAACACATAATTAGGCTTACATTTATTGACAAGACCCATTAAATTATTACTTGGATTCAATAAATAATGAGACAGTTTCTTAACATGTGTTTTTAAGGATAAGTTTGCCCAAATTACACACATTCCTGTATTACTTGTGGCATTTATTAGTAATGCAATGTTTTGGTTTGTTGGGATATCAATCTTGGAGACTATTTCCTAAATAGAAAGTAGGTCAGGAGGGAACCATTCAAAGGGAGGTCTGCCGATCATCCAGAGTAACCGGGGCTACATTGAGAGACAAAAGCAAAATTAGATTTGTGTTCATTGTCAGTGGTAGATAATTCAATTCTAGGCAAATAAAACCAAAACATCTTAATGCCTTGATGCCACAAGAGGTTACATGTAAAATGTGAGTCTCAGTTATCTTCTGAGATCACTTTTTTGCTTTTATGGATATGTTGTTGCTGTGGTTGAATTGACTTTGGGTTTTTGTAGATGTCCCTTGCCGGTGGTGGTTCTGTGTCCGTTGTACAGCTGCCAGGGGGTCAGTTTCAGGTTCAAGGAGTGATCCAGTCTGCACAATCGTCAGTCATTCAGTCCCCTCAGATTCAGAATGCACAGGTGAGACCACCTGGTTTTATTGTTTGAAAATATATCTTGAATTAATTTCCTTAGTTTCTTTTTACAAACTGTCAATATGCCATATTACTCTTAAACAAGTTGTTAATCCACCTCCCTCTTTTAAGGCGCTGGATTCAGATAGTGATGATTCACAGGACTCCTCAGACAGTGGAGCTACAGCCCATAAGACCCGAGAAATACTGGCAAGACGGCCGTCATACAGGTAAAATAAAAACACAAAGCACAGACTTTGACACAAAACTGTTGTAAGAGGAAAACTAACTCAAGTGAGCCTCATTCTCTTGCCTTGTAGAAAAATCCTAAATGAACTATCATCGGAGGAAGTGACACACAGTGAGGGAAAGGATAACATCCAGGTCTCCGCAGGAGTTACATTACCGGCCGGCCAAATTTACCAGACCACCTCCGGCCAGTACAGTATGTATTTCTCCTTTTTAATATCAAAATATTAAAAAAATATTTTTTTCTGAAGACCAGAGAAATATTTATAAAAAATACTCATCAATCAACTATGTGTTTTCGGATGTGTAATTAAGTAGATTATTTGTTTATACACAATTTTAGAATCAGTAATCTTTTTGTATATCAATTTGACACTGATTAACTTTGTATTGTATAATAATTCTCATGTTAACAAATGTTATTATTGTTTTACACATTCGAAAATAAATCTAATTTAAAAAAAATCAAATAAAACTATACTGCAGTCCCAAGACATTTTAACCTAGCTAGTTTAAAGGTGTCATTAACTTGTGCTTCACCCAGTTCTGATGCAGTCTTTTTAATTATTCTAGTTACCATAGCCGCTAATGGCACAATCCAGCTGGCCGGTTCGGGGTCTGAAGGCCTTCAGGGGCTGCAAACTGTCACCATGGCCAACGCTGGCCAACAACAAGGCGCGACCATCCTTCAGTATGCCCAGACATCGGATGGCCAGCAGATCCTGCTGCCTAGCAACCAGGTTGTTGTACAAGGTGAGAAAACATGAAAAACATGTTTTAACGGTATCTAGCTGTTTGGCAAATAGCTATGTAGTTAGCGCAAAAGTCCAAGGAGACTGTCCAAGTAGTGGAGGTTACATTTCTTTAAACTGTGAAAAAAGAGTGATGGTCCATCTATCGTTCGCACCGCTGTCATTGTTATTAGTTTTTTGGTTCTGAACAGTGAAAGATAAATCAATAACACAACAATAAACGTTTGTAACCCACTTTCATTGGACTAGCCGTCACTGGCTGCAATAGAAAAGACTAAAATGCTAAAGGCGCTACCTCAAGGTGCCTTACTTCCAGCAGGATGCTTTGATTCCAGCGTAATAAGCTTCTTTAGAAGGATGTCTTTAGGTAAACTAGTAAATGGCTTTTCAGGCACGCAGGTTTGAAAATCTACTAGGTAAAGTAAATTCAAGGCTAAAATGGCTGACTATTGGGTGCTTTTCCCAAAATATTTCCCCAATAATTATTTTGATAAATCATCATGAGTAATGTGGATATAATGACTAGGTGGTTTACGGCAAATTATAGAAGAGAACATTGTGGTAAGTTTAGAAAATGACATCACTTTACATTTTTAATGCAGTCTTTAAAACGTGGAAACACAATGTATGCATTACATATAATCAATATCCATAACCCAAGGTGATAGTTCATCTAGTATCACAATATTTGTGTTTTTCAAGTTAAATCATATATTCTCATAGGTTCTTAATGTATGATTGTTTATGGTTAACAAATTAATGTCTAAACTTCCCAAGATCACTCATTTTATCAGGGTGTCCGCGGGGTCTTAAAAAGTATTAAAAGTTGATAAATCAATTTAGCGAAAATGAAGGCTATTGAAAAGTATTAACAGCATTTTCCAAAGTATTACATTTTGTAGCTTGTTTCCAATAAGTATATACATTTTCCAAAGAGGTTGTATTCTACAGTGTGCCTGAATGTAATCATTGTGTAGGTGTGTAGTGTGATTCTGTGTAGTTTATTTATGGCATCCCGTTGGATTTGACGTCATCTGAACAGGACATCGCACGCTCACTGGTTGATAGCGCGCGAAGGTCCGTTCACGCCGGT